TCCGTTATCTAGCAAAATGAAATTAAACCCATTTCTATCACCCTGTACAAAAATCAACTCAAAGTGGATCAAAGACTTAGGCACTAGAACAGAGACTCTAACCCTAGAAGAAAAGTAGGCCCTAATCTCTACTATGTCAGCTTAGAAACTTATTTCCTTAACAAGACTCCTAAAGTGCAAGAAGTAAATACAACAATCAATAAATGGGATGGAATCAAACTAAAAAGCTTCTTCACATTTATATCTCTTAATAATGCTAAAATACATTTTTTTTCATAAAAATACTCTTTTCTCATAACATATTCAGAAAATAATTACCAGTGATCCATTTTACGAGGAAGAGGACCAAGAGGAGAGACTGGCACTCTCCTATATTATCAATAGGAATATAAATTGGGACTATAGACCTTGAATGACAATCTATTAAAATTTTGAACTATATCTTCCCTTTGACCCAGCAACTATACTTGCACAGATTTCATAAAGATATTTTCATTTATTTATTCTCCAAAGTCCTGAAACTATTCTAGAAAATTAAGTAGGCCTGATTTCTCCTGATGAACCTCACAGTATGATGGTGGAGAAAAAGCATTATAAGAAAATAACAAATTATGCCATGTGTGCAAAGCTCTATACAGGAAAGAAATTGGGATGGATGATTTAAAAAAAAAAAAAAGAAAGAGGGTGCACTAGTGTTAGAAATAGCAAGGAAAGACCTCTGGGAGAAGCTGCCATTAGCTGTCAGCTGGTGAATGAGAAGTCAGCCAGGGAGGAGAGGAATGGAATGAAGACGTGAAGTAGAACTTATGGATTTAGAAGACTGAAAAGGGGACATTTTGAAGGGAAGAGGGATTGTGTGATGTATTTGGTAAGAAAAATAAGGACTGGGTCAGACAGTTTCCTATAAACCATGATGGTCTATAGTTTCAATTTTGTTCCACGTACACTGAAAGCCATGATCTTTCTAAGAATGGCACTCAGGCTGCCTAGTGAGGGGTGACCTGGGCAAGAGTCCAGAAAGGAAGGAGGGCAAACTTATAGATAGGTCCACTCAGCTCTATGAGAGAGTGTGGCTGGTGAGGAAGCTCAGAAAAGGAAGCAACTACATGGCTTCAATATATATTTTGTAAGGAGGTTCAACCTTGTTCATTTTACCTCCAACAAACCAAAAAAAAAAAAAAGATTTTCCTGCCGAAAACGTTTTGTTGAAGTGAGCAAGAACATTCTCTGGAAAATTTATAATTCATATTCCCACAAATAAACAATTGCAGAATCAGACTAAATCAGAGCAAAGAGTGGTCAATTCCCTGTTTCACAGTGTAAGTAAACTTTTTAAAAAGGTACATTCATCAATATTTACCCTTCTGAAGCCTGGATTTGAATCAGTATCTGATAGAAATCATGCAAATCTTTAAAAAAAATAATTCCAGGAATCACAGAAGCATGATGAATGATGTTGCCTACCATCTAAAAGGATATTGGGCCACCCTTCCCACTTTTTCCAATTATTGAAGTACAAATTGTTTTCTACAATCACACGTACAATTTCGGACATGCCTGGATTCCTTCAGGTGATGATCCTAATGGAAGAGGTGTACGATTTCCATTACCTTGAAAAACAAAAAGTGGCAGGTCACTTACTTTTGCAGGCCATTTCAAGATATATGTGTAATAACATCTCAATTCATGAATTTGAGGAAAGCACGAACATCTTATAGTAGTAACGTGTGACATATAAGATTTATTACATACATGTTTCCAGGCAAAACAAAATCCAGTGAAGACTTGCCTCTGAAGCCAAATTTTAATTAATCTACTTCATGGGCAAGAGAACTGCTACAGATAATGAGCATTAGAAGCAGCATGGAAACCTCTGAGGACACTGCCTCTTTGAATAAATATTCACTCTCTTTACTTCGCTTCTTATGCCATAGTGTGACATGGTTGGATTTTCAGCAAAGAAAAGTTTTCTTTAGCTTTTTCAACTTGCGATGTGTTGTGCCTACTTCCTGACTCTCCTGCTTTCAATATGGCACATTAATTGAAGCATAGCATACACATAAAACGATGTTCCCTTTTAATGAGTATTACTGTTATGATTCTCGTTCTTATTTCAGCCTCTTGAACAAGAGCCAGTTTCAAGTCGGGCTTTTGCAAAGTCATTATCCAGAGAGTAAAAACAACCACCCGAGCAGAAGCTGCTGGAAATCCCTCCCTTCTTTCCTTTATCTAAACACAAATTAAGTGGCAAGAGAAAGCACTGCTTAGCCCAGAAAACTGTGCAAACGCTCCTTCCAGACGACCTCCCTAGCACCATGCAACTGTGACCATAACACAAAGGTGCTTTGAGGCCCACATCTTCCAATGTCAAGGGCACATATAAAAAAGCACAGAGAGTTCTGTTCGTCTTGGGGGTGCTCAGTAAGATTTATCACTGATTTCTATGACCTCCCTTTGATTGGGACAAGTAAATGAACCAGCCTGCATCAAACCAAGAACACTGTATTACTCTCCTATCGAAGGTTCCCATACTCTCTATGTATCACCTCACCAAGAAACTTTAGGGTACATACCAAAATACCAAAGTGCAATACCAATGAGTTCTTTAACTTTTATTCAAGTAAGGAAATAAACGATAACCCTTTTAAAACCTGCATTCATTAAATCGGTCAATACAATGAAGTTTTAGGAAAGATAAATCAGAATAAAGTGAGACATATCTAGAGTTTAGTCTACAATGCAACTCAATAGCTATAGGCCTATAAATATTATAATTCACTGCTATTATTCTATGTCCTTTGTGATTCGCACAATAATACTCTTAAGAATTGCAAAATATTATATTATGGGCAAGAACTGGAAGTTTATTAATTTTGTCCCTTTTCCCCTGCCCCAAAGTTTAGAATATTATTCGTGATGATTTGCTTTCTTCACATTAATTTCAAAATAACTTTTTAAATTGTAAAACGAATATGTTCTTGTTACAATACAAAATCAGAAAATATATAAAGATGCAATGAAGAAAATAACAAAATATATTATATCAATAACTCTTTCATTAGAAAAATAAGTTCTAGTGTATTTTGTTGATCCCATCTAGAGTTTGCTCATACTGTTTTTCCTCATTATCCAACAAGAAAAAAAAACACACACACCCAAACCTCTCCCCACTGTTAATCAAATTCAAACACTAAACTCAGAAAGGTAACCAACATTTTAGTTACTGAGTTTCCCATTATACAAATCATTAATAAATTCAGTAAGACTTGTCCCAGCTTCCATTCACTCGTATTTGCCCATTAGTCTAGTTACAGAAAAATCACTTATTAATTTCTCAAAACTTTGTCCCATGCCTCAACTTTTCCATTTTGGAAAGGATTCAGTCATTGTTCACTTTCTGATTTTATCCAAAATGGCATAATATAAGTTTATGAAATTTGGAGGGAACTCCACAAAGAATGTCAAACATAATCTCTTGAAGTTTTCCTTCTAAGCAGAAACTGATTTTAAAGATTCACTCATCTTCTTCTAGACTCAGCACCCCACACATTTGTCACAAATGTTATTTAAAATATATGGTGTTGGCCAGTTGCAGGGGTGCACACCTATAATTCCAGTGACTTGGGAGGCTGAGACAGGAGGATCCCTGGTTCAAAAACAGACTCAGCAACTTAGTGAGACTCTAAGCCATTAAGGAAGACCCTGTGTCAAAATATAAAGAGCTGGGGATGAAGCATGGCCCCACTGTCTTGAGTCTAACTACTCTGTCTTGTAGCACCACAGCAGCCATTCACAAAACAAAATAAATAGTCACAGTGTGCTCCAATAATACTTTATCCACAAAAACTTTATTTCAAAAACAAGACTTTTCTAGAGGCAGATGGTGGTGATGGTTGATTGCACAGCAATGTGAATATTCTTAACGACACCGAACTTGCGCTTAAAAATGATAAAGTTTATGTGCTGTGTATTTTTTCAAAGTTTAAAAGAAACAAAAACTAAATTTTTCCTCTAAGATGTTTTCCCAACTCCTGAGCTATGTGATTCTTTCTGTCCAAATAGAGTCCCTGAAACCAAAAAGCTTCTAAAACCTGATGCAATACACACTGCCAAAAATAAAATTGATCGTTTACCAACCAAAATTCTTTGGATATTCTGAAACTATTAAAATTGATTTTAACTGCCAAGTTAAAAGCAAACTAACTAAAAATGATGTTACTAGCTTTGTCCCACCACCCTAAATTGGGGTAGAGTCCAAAAGTTGAGGAGCTTAGACATATGCAGAAACAGGCAGGTTGAATGCTAGGGAAAATAATTAAAACAACACAAAGATAATCCATCTTACTATCAATTTGTTTGTTTGTTTGTTTGTTTGTTTTTAATTCACAAATTAAAAGAAATACAATGAGAAAGATGTCATTTAAGTATTATCAGAGATCTGACTTTGCCATGCATGATTTCTACATCTCATATATACATGGTACCATTGGATCCTTCAATTTTATTTCTAATTGCTTTACTTGGAATTTACATTAATAATTGCTTAACATGATTTTTCCCTGTATTTTCAGATGTTTTCAGTGAAAGGCATTATTACTTAAAATTCTATTTAATTTTAGATGTACCCACACATACTCAGTCTAAAATCACATACTTCTCCACATGCAGATTTTGGGGGAATTTTGTATGTCTTGTTTTGTTTTTTCAGTTTCAATTGTAACCACAAAAAGTCACGTAACTTCTTTTTCAGGGTGGTCAGGGCTAGCCGAGACACTTCCACATTCTGATTAATTATCACTCATCTGGTACCTTCCCATTCAACTTTGTCTTTAGCCTGTGAGCTTTTCTTTCAGCTTCCAACAAAGGATTTCATTGCTGGAGGAAATGAGGTGTGTCGAGTTTTTACCTGGGAGAAAAGAGTGATGCAAGTGTTTCTGTTGGGACCAATCCCTGGGTTAGGGTGGGGAGGAACTGCCTAACAGGCCACCTGTAGACTCCTGGGCAGACAGCAGAGACAGGGCTTTTGCAAACATCACAAGCAGACAGCTCTGAGGACAGCCACAGTGGATCTCCTGAATTAGCTCACCAGGGAAATCAGAGACCAACTATGGCTTGGCTTTTCCCCAGAACCACAGGGGCTCTGGCTGTTTTAATGGTAAGTCCTGTCTTTTTCTGATAATAATCACCAACTTTCCTTGTTCCCTTTCTTGCTAGAGTACATTACATTTGATTGCCAAATCCCCATTATCAAATTCTTAAACAAAAACAATGGAACTAAAGGTTATAAAATGAAACTGCCAAAATTTTCAATTGCCTCCTTTTGTTTTTGTTTTTTTTGTGTGTGTGTGTGTGTGTTTTTTTAATGTTGTATTTTACAAAGAAAAGTAAACCAGAAAGGAATTTCGAGTAACCATTTTTGGATTTTAAAGTAACCATTCAGTATTTCTTAAGTTAACCAATTAAGTAGACCTAATCTCCAATAATATTTTTCACAGTACCTTCATTTTCCTCAAAGTAATGCTCTTATTCTTTTTTTTTTTAAAACACACAAAGTAAAACACACGAGAATCTCTTCTATTTTCCAAGATTACGTGTCTCTTCTAAAGCATATGACTAAGATCTCTACATGTCTGGACTTTAGTACCTGACATGTTTTTAAAATAGTTGAAGACTGGGGCTGGGGTTGTGGCTAGGTGGTAGAGCACCCACTTAGCATGTGTGAGGCGCTGGACTGTTGAATTAAAATCAAAGTGATTTTGCTTTTAGAGAAGTTGGGGGATTATTAAGAAATCATTTTCTATGTTTAGCCACCGTGTGCAAATCATATCCATCCTTTTGCAGGGGGCAGGGAAGACATGAACCATTGTATAATGTAAAAATGTTCAGGAGAGTAATATTTGTGATGATTGGAAAAGTTTGATAGAGTGTGGTCTAAAAGAGAAGTGGAATCCAAGGAGCAAAACAGGAGCCTAGATGTTACAGGCTGGTTTATACCTTAACTATATTGTATTAAAAGGAAAAAAAAGATATGTCATAGCATTATCAGCTACATGAAGACAGCCAAAGAGCAAAATAACCATAAATGAATATCGAAAGATTCCTAATGCTAATTCCGCTTTGTCGATGGTAAGTGTGATTGGCCTAGGCATCAGCTCATTTCATTTCCTCATCTCAAAAGATTGAAATAAAGGAACTTCCAGAAGTTACAGGGAAATTGATCTCAAGAAAAAAAAAAACTTTCTAAAAACTACAAGTTATCTAACAGAATGCCTTATGTGGTAGAATCCCCAGCCTTCCCTCTCAAGACAAGGTACAGTCAGAAAATGAATGCCATTCCTTCCTAAGACTCTTTCTATTATGACAATGTAACTGCTTTGGGTGTCTAGTGAATTTTTCTTACCCAAGAATGTTGTAAAGAGGATGTGATAGCTGCATGGCTGTTCCACCTTTTCAGATGGGAAATTTCTGGACTGAACTGCAGGTAGCCTGATCAACCAGATGTCCAAGTTAGGGACAAAGCTCAAGAAGTCAGGGGTCATGTGGCCAGGGATGTCAGAAGAATGTTGTGATAAGAATGTAGAGTTGGCTCACCATGGCTTAGGAGAGCTTTGACTTCTAGTCACCTCTCTTTTCCTACAGTGACTGTAAAATTCTTACAACAGGGTTGTTGCTTCATCTTTAATAACTTTCTTACAGAGGACACAAAGTTGATGGCAGGATGAATAAATGATGGAATAAGGTCTAAACCTCCTTCTCTTATAATGCTAGTGACATGGGGGAAACTGTGACATGGAAGACATTTTTCTCCACCCAGGAAAATTTCACACACACACACACACACACACACACACACACACACACACACACCAATTTAAACAATAGTATAACTTCACACAAAATATTAAAATTAGTGATCCAGACCTGACCTGACCAATATGGTAGCCCCTAGCTACATGTGGGTATTAAGCAATGGAAATGTAGTTGGTCTGAAGTGAGAGGTGTTTGTAAGTGTGCAAAACACATCATAATTTAAAGACTCAGTATGATAAAAGGATGTAAAATACATCACGAATATGTTTTCTTGATAACATTTAAATGATAGCATCTCAGATATAGTCCTTTAAGTAAATATATTGTTAAAATTCATTTTGAATTTTTTAATGTGACTATCAGAAATTTTAAAATTATTCAACTGGCTGGCCTTTGTGCCTCTCATTACATTCCTATTAGACAGTACTGGCCGACTATGAATGTTATTAGTGGAAGGCAGTGTCAGTCAGGAGTGAGGGGGGTAAATAAGGTTCCATGAATTCATTGAGATTTGAGATGGGATAAGTGGAGATGGGTCCAAGGAAGATATCTTCTGTTTTCAGACCAACATAAGCAAAGACAGGAGTAATTATGGTATTTGCCTAGAGGCAATGGACCCAACGGTGTGACTAGAGTAAAAATTTGTGTTGAAGAATCCGGACATGAATTGGAAAGGTAGATGAAGGTGAGATTGAAAAGTACATTCTGTGAAGGTGAACGTAATCCTTTCAGAAATGGGGAACCACCCAGAGTTTTGAAATAGTGTGGTTATGGGAAAAAAAGCAATGTTCCCAAAAGCACTGTTGAGTGAGAACGCTCACCTTTTGTTGTTGAAGGGTGGGGTCTGAAGGTTGGAAGACATATCTGGAGGTTTTGAAATTCTGCCATTCAATGACCTTACAAGGGTGGCTTAGTAAGGTGAGATAGAGCAACTAAGTCATTGGCTTGGATCTATAGCTGTTCCACTGACTCATTCCACGCCTGGTGGCCACAACTGTCAAGTAAGAATAATATACCCTACCCTCTGACGACTTAAAATGGCCATAGTGAGAATAAAGCAGAAAGTGTGAAAAAAAAGTGCTATGAGAAATATAAATTGCTTTGTAAGAATCTAATATTAATCATTTGTAATATTGTAGTAATAATGATAATTCCTGACATCTCAATATTGTGTCTTCAGATATTTTTAAAAACCACCAAATTTTTTAATTAATTATGAAATTAATATTTTTGAAATTTCACAGAAAAAAATAATAGCTATATTTTAAATGAATATAATGATAGGGGAATAAAGGATATTTTCAAATGTGAAACTTTTCACACAATTTTAGCTATTGTCTTCTGAATTAATTATTTGGAAGGGGAAGGGATGAAGAATACCTGCTTATTCTTTCTTTAAAAAATAAAAGTCTTATTTTTAATTTCTTACGCTTGTCTGATATTTCACATAATACAAAATGATAAACAATTTTAGGAAAAGATTTGTAGTTGAAAATGCTTTACCCTCAGAGATAAAAAAGACTCTTTTAAGAGACAAACCTCTTAAAAGTTTTGTCTTCAATGGAAACCATTGTTCACTGTTTTGCAGTTCACAAATATCCAAAACACATTTTGTCATCTAGCATTCCTGTAAATATTTGAATAATGAGCCATCTGATTTCATGTTATTATATTACATAAAGCTTTACTCACTGCAAAATTAATAGAGATGTTTGAAACCCAAAGATTTTTAATACAGTTGTTTTAAAGACACAGAAGGAATTTAAGCATCAAGTTCAGAGTAGAACGTGTTCTAAATACAGGAGAAAGATCTTCAACCACCTTTTCCATAAAACATTCAAAAATTAAATTTTTAGAAAAAGGGTTTCAGGCTAAATGGCCCATTTTAACAAAAGGAAAATCTGTTCTTAACTAATAAAACAATTGTTTTCAGTACTCATAAGTATATGAAGATAAGTTTCCTACAGAACTTTTCCAAAAGTTAAGACTCTAAAATAAGGATAACCTTGTCAACGGATTCTGCCTGGCCCTGCCTGACTTGGGCAGAAGTCAGGAAAGATGTAATTACTTCTACCAATTAGCACTCCCACTTGCTTCATACCTGAAACTGGTTTTCATCTGGAACTAGAACACACAGTGTCCATGAGATTTCTCATAAACCTCTTAGCCTTTGGCCATTTCTTCCCGGTAAAGAATCAATCTGCTAGCCTAGGGTGAGGGCTTGTTTTGTGAAACTCATCACAAGAAAATTATATAGACAATTGGTTACTATCCATAATTATATGAAAAAAAAACTGAATCTATCTAATACACACGTTTTTCCTACAGGTTCGCTGGGCAGCTGTCCAGGTTGTGCATTGCGCAACTCCAGTAGGAGTTCCCATAAACGACAGTGGGAACAGTACCCCCTGGAGTTGTGCAAGGAACGGCCTACACAGTTGTGTAGTGGAGCTCTCTTTGCTCAAGAAAGAAAGTGTTCCTATGCGCCTTGTCAGAGATGACCCATATTAGTCAAAGTAGCTCTTCTATGCTTTTTTTCCCCCCCCTTCCATTTTGTTTTGTTTTGGTTTAGTGACAAAAGTGTCTTTTAGGGGCCAGCATATCAGGGATTGAACCCAGGGCACTTAACCACTGAGTCACATCCCTAGCCCTTTTTACTTTATATTTTGAGACAGGGTCTCATTAAGTTGCTTAGGGCCTCACTAACTTGCTGAGGCTGGCTTTGAAGTTGGGATCCTCCTGCCTCAGCCTCCCAAGCTGCTGGGAATACAGTCTTGCCCCTTCCCCTTTGGTTTTTTTTACCGTTTTTTAGGCCTTTCTTTTGGGCCGGGTTGGTTTGGGGTTTTCATTTTTTTAAGTCTCACATGTATAAGGGCAGTAAGATGAAGAAACAGAGGATGAAGTAATGTCCCCAAGTTTTACAATTGGTACATGGCTGAAACTGGAATTCAAATTCAGGATCAGAGTCCAGTTTTGCTTTGCCACACTAGGCCGCATCCTAAACAGCATTCTAAAGGAATGTTTGTGTATATCTAAGGATATTTGATTTTCTTAGTATCTCCATCATAATGCAAAGTTTAACTTCCTAATTTAATTGAGTTTATAAATCTGTTATTGAAAATTTGAATTATCCAAAGTAAATAGTTTCTAAGTAATTGAACATATATAATTTTTATTCAATAAAGGAATTTGTCTTGATGGAAACAAAGTTTATTAGAATGTTTGGGGGTTCTTAAATTTGAAAAATTCAATGCAGATAAGTCCAATTGATGATAGTTCAACTCGTGAATTTTCAATTTATGTTGGTGAGAAAGCATACCCATACCACCATCCTGTTTTTCCCTGTCAGTATAGAATTCAATAAATTACATGAGGCATACAATACTTAATTATACAGCAGGCTTTGTAATAGACGATTTCCCAAATGTAGGCTAATGTAAGTGCTCCGACCATCTTTAAGGTGGTCTAGGATAAGCCATGGTGTTCAGTGAGGTGACTGTATTAAATGTATATACAACTTAATGATATCTTCAACTTACAGTGGGTGTATCAGGACATCATTCCAACATAAGTTGAGGAGCATCTGTTCAGGGAGAAATCCGGAAAGATGAAGCACTCACATCTTCCAAATTGTGTGTATATAATTTATTCATCAGTTGTGTATGAAACCATCTCTGTGATCTGATATATTCACAATCACTGTTTCTGACCAATTATAGAATTAAAACCACCATCATATGTGGATTTCAGGACTTTTTAATGCAAATACATTAATAAAATAAAAGGAAAGAGTGGTCATGGACTAGCCTCCTGCATCTGATCATAATCTAATAATCCTCATACTAAAGTTTGAGGTAATTCTAGTCAAAATCTTGGCCTAACCAAGTAAAATATCAGGTGTCATTACAAATGGTCTATAAAAATCTAGCCACCCATATCCTTAAATTCAATTGAAACATTAATAATGATACTATGCTCACTAGCAAATAGGGTATATGAATATTAAATTACTTTATTTTTATGCTTTCTTAATAATCAAGTTTGCTTATATGAGCTTAAATTCCTATCTATACCAAAGTAGTTAGTCTATATCAGTACTCTAAAAATCATGTAATCAAGATTTACAAATAATCAGGAAACAAAAATGAAAAAGAAAGGTACGGAAGTTCTCAAGATAAGAAATACTTTTCCACATTGGTACTTCCAATCCATGTTATGAAAAGAGAAAACTTAATTGATTTAAGTTGTCAGGAAACTATATATTTTATTTACTAGCTCAATTTAGCTATTCCACAATGTATACTTATTTCAAACAACATTGTATGTAAAAAGTTTATACAACTTATTTTATAAATAATTTTATAAATTGTTTAATACAATTAATTATATTAACAATTTAACTAAAATAATTACCTATCGTATAAGCATTTGTTAACTAAAAATAACATTGTTCAGAATAATATTTTTTAGAAAATACTATTCTAAACAATGTGAGACTTTGTTATATTTCTAATATCTGAGGAGCATAGTTATACTCAGAAACATGTCTTACCAACTACCTCTTATTTCTAGAAGAAAAAAGAAAAAACAAAAGCATCACAGTTTTGCAGTGTTTTCTAAAATTAGAGATATTCTTGGTGGTCTGACTTTAAAAGAAAAGACAGGAAAGAGTAAAGACTTAGAAAGAATAACCTTTCTCAGCGCTCTGATTCTAGAAAAACATAGAAAAATAAATAAATAAACATCTCTCTATAATGTTAATTGTGCATAGTCTGGGATTTGTCTCTCTTTTGCTTCCCAGGAAAATATAAATTGTGCCTTTCTGCCTACTAGAAGAATCCTCCTCTCTGGGGCTGGGACAGACGTGATTCATATTTTCTGGATGACTCTGATTTTCCTGTAAAGGCCAATGTGCCTGGCTCATCCTTCCCCTCACGTGTGGCTGAGTGTCTCCACTTATGATCTGAGGAAGGAGTTGTTCAATCACTACCTTGCTAATAAAGAACAACGATGTTGTAAAAATCATTTTGAGACATGTTATAATGATTCCTTTTCAGGACAATTTGAACACACACTCTTTGAAACCAGAGTTTTAGTTGAAAGGTTTAGAATGGAAGAGTCTGGACATCCTAAGAATGACGTGATTAATCCTTTGGTTCAGACTTGGACTTGCCCTTTCATTATAACCTTTGAAAATAAAAAAAAAATGTAATAAATTTATGTTGTTTCAGGAGCAACCCTAGCCTTTAGCCATATAGAAACCTAAATTGACTATCATGTAACTTTCTTTCCACTACTAGTTTTTTGTTTGTTTGTTTTTTGTTTTTTCCTATGTATTTCTGCCAACTTTGGTTAGAATCTAGTATAGTGCTGATGTACACACTCTGGGGTCAGGCTGCTGAGGTTCAAATCCTGACTCTACCAGGGCCAGTGGGTGGAGCAAAGTATTCATTCTCTCATGGCTGAAAACATCCATAAAATAAGGATTATAACAATAGAATCTCCTTCCACACTGGCTTCTGCAAATATTAAACAAGATAGTAAGCGTAAAGCTCTACGAATAAAATTAATAAAGCCACATAATGAACATTAGCTACTATTACTAGTCTTCTTCTTTTTTTTTTCTTCTGATTGGTTTTCCACAGTCATTTTTCTACCAAATTCTCTTTAGGTCACATAATCAGTAGATCACCAAATAATGGTTAAACATCTGCTGAAGGAAAAAATACGGAATTTTAAAATTTGCAATTCTCTTGGCTTAACAGAGAAATTTTTACATAAAACAGTAAAAAAATAATAAATCATGATAAACCAAAATGCTAACTTGCACGGTATAGAATGTGAGTTGCACAAACTCAAAAAAGGAGACATCGGTAAAAAGAGTTTAATGGAGTATTTTAGAATTTGAACACAGACCTTAACGGATGAGTAATATTTTTTTTTAAAGAGAGAGTGAGAGAGAGGAGAGAGAGAGAGAGAATATTTAATATTTATTTTTTAGTTCTCGGCGGACACAACATCTTTGTTGGTATGTGGTGCTGAGGATCGAACCCGGGCCGCACGCATGCCAGGCAAGCGCGCTACCACTTGAGCCACATCCCCAGCCCCAGGATGAGTAATATTTAAGTGGAGGGGAAAGAGGGATGAATCCAAGATGGAAAATTGTACATGTGATGGTCCTATATGCTCTTGAGAGTGGGAGCAGTTTGCCTGACTTCAGTAATTCCATTATACTCTTTTGGCTCTTGTACAGCTAAAGAAACTGTTCTATAACTGAAGCTAATATGGTTTGCTTTTGCAAGCCAGTTGGATAGGTGATGATCTTTGATCAGCTCCTATGACCACTTTCTTACTTGTTTCCCGAAACAATGCCTTCCACTTATCAGGGAGAACATTTGGCCTTTGGTTTTTGGAATTGGCTTATTTCACTTAGCATGATATTCTCCAACTCCATCCATTTACCTGAAAATGGCATGATTTTATTCTCTTTTAAAGCTGAGTAATATTCCATTGTGTATATGTACCACAGTTTCTTTATCCAGTCATCTACTGAAGGGCATCTAGGTTGGTTCCACAGTTTAGCTACCGTGAATTGACCTGCTATAACCATTGATGTGGCTGTGTCACTATAGTATGCTGATTTTAAGTCCTTTGGGTATAGACTAAGGAGTGGGATAGCTAGGTCAAATTGTGGTTCCCTTCCAAGACTTTTTTAAGGAATCCCCACAGTGCTTTCCAGAGTGGTTGTACATTGCCACCAGCAATGTACGAGTGTACCTTTTCTCAGCATCCTCGCCAACACTTATTGTTGCTTGTATTCTTGATAATTGCCATTCTGACTGGAGTGAGATGAAATCTTAGTTTTGATTTGCATTTCTCTAATTACTAATGAAGTTCGGCATTTTTTCAGATATTTGTTGATCAATTGTACATTTCCTTCTGTGAAGTATCTGTTGATTTCCTTAGCCCATTTATTGACTGGGTTATTTATTCTTTTGGTGTTGAGTTTTTGAGTTCTTTATATATCCTGGAAATTAGTGGTCTATTTGATGTGCATGTAATAAAGATATTTTCCCACTCTGTGATTTCTTTCTTCATATTGTTGATTATATTCTTGCTGAGAAGAAGCTTTTTAGTTTGAATCCATCCCATTTATTAATTCTTTACTTATTGTGCTTTAGGAGTCTTGTTAAGGAAGTCAGGACCTAATCCGACATGATGAAGATTTGGGTCTACTTTCTCTTGTATTAGTTGCAGGGTCTCTGGTCTAATTCCTAGGTCCTTGATCCACTTTGAGTTGGCCGAATGTTCCCCCTGATAAGTGGATGCTTATCTATAATGCGGGGACATGGTGTGAGAAGAACAGAGGAACTTCAATTGAGCAAAGGGGAGAGGGGAAGAGGGGACATGAGGGTAGGAAAGGTGGTGGAATGAGATGGACATCATTACCCTAGGTACATGCATGACTGCACATATGGTGCAACTCTACATCATATACTACCAGAGAAATGAAAAGCTGTGCTCCATTTATATACAATGAACCGAAATGCATTCTGATGTCATGTATAACTAATTAGAACAAATAAAAGAAAAAAAGAAGAAATAACCTTCCATAGCTTCTGAGAACTGTTCAGAGAACAGCCACAATAGAATATCTGGTTGCTGCAACTGGTTGTTAGTATAGTTTTGCAAAGTCCTTCTTATATTACTAAAATTCTGTAGTCAGGTTAAAGAACTGGAAGAACTTGTTTATACTGAAAGCAGCATTCCTTTTCATGGTGGGAATTTATGCTTTAAATACCACCTCTCCAAAACTACTTCTTTTGAAATGGAAACAAACTATAACATGAACAAGAAAATGAAATAATTAGGATAATTCATTGTATATAATTACTTATTTTAAGAACTCATATAATTTGACTCTATTTAAATGTCTACAGGTGGTGGTGTTGGTTCATGGAGAATTGCAAATAGAGGTAAAGTATGAAAAATTTTTTGCAATTTAAATACAAGTTTAATATTAAAACTTAAAATTGTATTTAGGAAAGATGAGTATTTAATGTTTAAAATCATTTGATAATTTAATTGTGAAAAATACATGAAATTAAAATTCTAGTAACCACACCAACAATACTTAGAAAAAGATCATCTTTAATATTATTCTTTTGATTTATATCATGCATTCTTTCTTCTTCTCCTTAAACAACCCAACAGGTCAAATCCTATGAATCTAAAACACTTAGATATTGTGAAGCATTTGAAAAATATAAAATATGATTAAAATGCTAATATTGGAAGTCATATAACTTTGTAATTATTTTAGTTACTTAATTTTTTTCCTTAAAATATTGGGTTGAGCAAATTGAACATCTAACAGTCTTAGTTACCTTGAAACATAGGGCATTCCTCAACACAGGTGTCCATAATCAATATTCAAAGTAAAAATTGCCAACAATGTGCATTAAAAAATGGAATTCCTTTTTGCATAAGACAAAAGGACAACATGGAGAAGACGAGACAGCAATGCAACAAGCCAGAAGAAGATACAAACGTGAGTGGGTGAAATTTGCCAAACCCTGCAGAGAAGAAGAAGACAACTCAAAAAGAAACCCGATTGCCAAGGTAAATCATATCAGCAGAGATGTGTGAATTTTTTTTTAAATAAATGCATTACATATAAATTAAAATAATATAGAGATCCCAATGTTCATAAAACAAATGAACTAGAATATCCAGCCAAAAAGTATAATAATTATAATAACATAAAAATGAGAAAGAAAAATGAAGGAACTCTGGCTTCTAGAATTACAAAATGGAATTAAGAGACATACTGACTAATTTTAGTGTTTAAGCTTATTTGGATCTAGATTTAATAAATAAAGAAAAAATAGAGATAAGAAACGATACAAAAACTTAGCACTTTTATGCATCAATGGACATAATAATTATAATAACATAAAAATGAGAAAGAAAAATGAAGGCTACACGACGCTCTTCCGATCTAAATGGAATTAAGAGACATACTGACTAATTTTAGTGTTTAAGCTTATTTGGATCTAGATTTAATAAATAAAGAAAAAATAGAGATAAGACAATTAGAAATATGGTTGGTGATAAACATCGGATTAGCCATGTATAGATAATTGGTGAAGGTGAGTGCTGAAATGTATCAAGTTCATTATACTGTTCTAACTTTGTGTACACATTTTAAATAGCCCCCATTTTAAAATTTAACAAACAAATCATTTTAATGCATATTTTCAACACCTACTATATAATTCGTTTCTCTTTCTTCCTCTCCATTTTGTCCTCTTTCAGCTTACAGAAACTTTCTTTTTCTAATGTTATCAGGTAAGGAGGGACCTAGCCTTGCCAATTGGCTTTGTTAAGTGCCTTTGACCTTCTCTTTAACATTTTACTGTCACCGTTGTGTCCACAATCTGAGTAAATATTCTAAAAGTCACAATGATGAGCACATATTGGTCCATGCTGGTCTGCAGAAGCAACAACTTGACTTTATTTCCTCTTCCTACTACCTGATAAGACAAAAAGTAAATGCCACAGTATCAGAAAGTGGACTAAGGGAACAGGTGACTGAACTATGGAAGGAAAGGAAGGCAGAGGGGAGGAAAAGACCTGAGGCATGATCATCACCTTATCAACATCGGGTTATTTTTGTTTGCAGATTTCTTCAGATTTCCAAGCAACCCAGAAAATAACCTACCGAATTTCTGGAGTTGGAATTGATCAGTTCCCCTTTGGAATCTTTGTTGTTGACCCAAACACTGGTGATATTAACATAACATCCATAGTTGATCGAGAGAAAACACCAAGCTTCCTGGTAAGTTTGTGTCTTCAACATCAGTCTACATTCTCCCTGTACTTCCTGGCTTTAGAAGGTGGCTCTTGTACTGGTGAATTTATGAGTACATGAGTCAATTCAATAACAAGTAACATTAGTTCTCCTACCAAGAGCATCCACTGATGGTTTGTGCACCTGAAGGAATACCTAAATGGGGAACAAGAGTGAGGGTCAGACTCCAGCACACAGCCTGCCAGGAGCTTTGTACTGCTGGGAGACACATTAGCCTGAAGGAAGGTACAATTTGCCCCATGGCAAGAGTAGGCATCTTTTTCCATTTTGTCTACCGTTTAGGGAAGTAGTTTTCTTCTTTGCACAAAAATTCTGAACATGCCAGCAGAGACTTTATGTATACAAATTCTAATAATATGCAAACTAAGTTTGTAGAGTAATAATGAACATTTTACTTCTGTTTCTAGATCACATGTCGAGCTCTAAATGCCTTAGGAAAAGATGTAGAAAAACCACTTATACTAACGGTCAAAATTTTAGATATTAATGATAATCCTCCAGTGTTTTCACAAAGCATATTCCAGGGTGAAATTGAAGAAAATAGTGCTTCAAGTAAGTCTTTTATGCTATCTACCACTTCTAATTCATCTGCTTTTCAAATACAAGTATCACTATGGTGTCATTCATAGAAAATAAGTTATTCTCTTAGTTTCCTCAGTAATTAAAAAAAAAAAAGATCAAGCTAATTTGTTTGTTCCTTTGTAAATGTTGTAGTTCACCTGATTACCCAGCACCATTGTGTTTCTAGATTGTAGTCCTGTTATAAGGTTGATAGTATTTTATTCTTCATACATAATTTACATGAGTATCAGGAAGTCACAAAGCTGAGGGGGCATCCTCAGGCAGCCTGAATGCATGATCTAAGCTTTTTTTAGGTTATAAGGGGCAGAGACTTTCTTGCATTATTTGGATAACTTAGGAAAGGGGGAGAAATATAAGACCATCCATTAAGGGAAGAAATCAATACAGAAAATGGTCTGAACTGTCACAAAACCAGGGCTTAGGAAAATCAGAGGATTTTTATGGAAAGCAGCAGGTTCTACCTAGTTAAGAGAGAAAGCTATCACAAGTGATATGCAATTTTTTGAGTGTATGGGTGGTTTTTAAAATATTAAAAAAGTGAAACTGTGTTGAATATTTAATTTGAACATAATGTCAACCTTTACATATGCTTTCATGAATATTTTCCTATATTTGCAGACTCACTGGTGATGATACTGAATGCCACAGATGCAGATGAACCAAACAATCTGAACTCGAAAATTGCCTTCAAAATTGTCTCCCAGGAACCTTCAAGCATGTCCATGTTTCTCATAAGCAGAAATACTGGAGAAGTCCGAACTTTGACCAATTCTCTTGATCGAGAGGTAAAGAAAGTCACTTGGAAGCATGTAAAAATAAAGAATTTGATTTTAAGAAACCCAAGAGAGGTGACTCCATTTTAACTGGGAATAAAAAGAGAAAGTAAAAGAATGTGCCAGTACTTACCTGAGCTAATCTAGGGACATGGTTTGTCTTCTTGAGTATGAATCTGGTGATATGAAATGTGTACCTGTGACCTGATACACAATCAAATGCACCCTACACATAGCCAAGGAAGTTAAAATGACAGTAAAAGAAGCCATTGTAACTTCTTTGCTATGTGTGCACCACATAAAAATAAATAAATAAAAGGTATTGTGTCTAATAAATAAATATTTAAAAAAAGAAGAAGCCATTGGCTTACATGCACAAAGGAAGCACGTGGCCAATTTCTCAGAAAATGGAGAAAGGAAATCTCTTTGATAGAGGAAGATATTTCTATCTGGAATCAAGCCTTCTCTGATGTTTATACCAAAGAGTCTCTTTGGCTTTTCTTCCCATCCCCTCCCACCACCACATCTGCCTCCATGACACAGGCTGCCATGTCAGATCCCATTTTGCTTTCATGCAAATGGTTTTCCCAATAGACTAGCGGAGAAGCCCCATAAGTGAGCTTTCCTCACATCATCATTCCACCAGACTCATTGACGTCAGAAGTTTACAAAAAAAGGGAACTGTTCTAGCCCTACAAACTTCCTTTTTTATGAAGAGCTAAAAGTGCTTGTGATCCAGGGACCATGAACTTCAATGTCTCCACTGGCTTATTGGTGGAAAGAAAGTAACAGCCTTTCACATTCTTAGAAGATTCATAATACGTCTTTATTTTTTTTTTTTCCAAATTCAGCAAGTTAGCAGCTACAGTCTGGTTGTGAGTGGCGCAGACAGAGATGGAGAAGGGCTGTCGACTCAATGTAAATGTAATATTAAAGTGAAAGATGTCAATGATAACTTCCCAACGTTTACAGAATCTCAGGTAAACCCATTATTCCTTGAAGAATTGTGTTGACATTTATTTAATACTTTG